TTTATCTAAAATGCTACGCAAATCTCTAACGCTATTTCCAAAGAGGTCCTAGAGTTACAGTTAAATAAGCAAATGCGTAGTACATCCAACCTGGCTCAACCTAAGCGGTGGATGGTGGCCGGTGGGGAGGCTTGATAAACCAATTTTCCAATTCTGGCAAAGATCTTTGCAAGATCAAAGCAAACACCAAAATGGTATGGTTTTCCAACTCTTTTAACATGGCGTGGGTCCCACAAAAACAACATGTGTAGATTCGTGTTTCCTGCCCAAGAATCCAAGGACCATCAATCTATGTCGTCCTCCCCAACTTTATTTAGGTCTGAAAACTTTCACAATTAGTTCTCCACGTGTGTGTTTTTTGTGCTAATAGCATAGGTGCTCCCGTGATTTACAAAAGTGCCGTCAAGATTTTTCTGTTTTTAAAAATTATTTGTAAAGTCCATATGATTTCTGATCCCTTACCTATTTTTAAAGAAAAAATGACATGTCTTTTCTTTTTTCTCAGAACTTTCCCAACTTTATTTTTCTTTATTATATAATTATATAGAATAAAATATACGCTTCCCATCTCAAATTAAAATTTTCTATAATGTTTTTTGGAAACAAAAGATTTTTTTTTGAGAATATAAGAACAATCTTTTTCTTTAACTCCGTATTTTATTTCATCTTTCTGTTATTCATTTTTTAAGGTCATTAAAAATTATTTTACTTTTAAAAAACAAAATTATTTTACTTTTCAAATTATTTTTTTGAAAATTAAATAAATGAAACATTTTAATTTGAGAACGATGGACTATATTTCATTTTATTTATTTGTATAACAAAAAATGCAAATAAAAGAGTGAAACTTGATAGAGAAAAACAAAGAGCAAAAATGTTATTTCATGTCAAAAAATAAGCAAGTGGGGGCGTCTGTACACTATTTAAAAACTACATAAATTTTACAAATAACTTTTAAAAGTAGAAAGAGTTTTAATATTTCTTTTATAAACCATGGGGCACCCATGCTATTATCTCGTGTTTTTGTGCAGGAAAAAGTCTGCACTTTCGCTGAATAAGCATTTATGGCGAGCGAGGTTATGTTCCTTCGTGGGATTTTATTGATTCTTTTGAGATCTAATTGAATTTTATGAATTTGATCTAATGTGTATAGATATGATTTTACCTAAAAGTATACTAATGTGCATATGTACATTGTTACATTATAACCACATTATCACAGTGCGAATTCCTATTTCAGGAATAAAATTATAAAACTCGTATTTTGGTAATTTTTCTGTGTTTTAATCCTATTTAAGGTAACTAATTTGATTCGTAATTCGTATTTAGAAAAGATGATTCGAATTCAATTAAATCGAATTCACATCTGAATACAAATCTAGTTTTAGATTCGAATCTAAGTCGAATCCGAATACAAATACCAAGAGGTCTGATTCGTTTATAATTCAAATTATTCGAATATTTTAAAAATAAATAAACAAAGAAATTATGTTTTGTCTGGAGCTTTAAGTGAAATTTGCACTAAATAGAACTAAAACATAATAACTTTTTAAAGTAGGACTTAAACTTTTTTATTCTCTAAATAGGACTTAATAATGACCTAGTGGAAGGAATAATGTCTAGTAATGAAGAACATTTAGTTGAATAATGACTACTTGATAATGACCAAAGGTCCTACATTGGGAAATAAAAATATATGGTCATATATTGTGAAAGTCTTTATGTTTTAATCCTATTTAGGTAAATTTCTCATTATTATTTGTATACGTTAGATTAAAATGGATTGCAAAGATCTTTCCAAACCAGCCGCATCTCATTTACTTGTTTTTATGAAGTGTATGTTAAAAAAATCTCTACTATTTTCGGATTCGTATCTACGACGAATTTATGTTTCCGTCGCAAATTTTAGAAATGCGGCAACTTTTTTTGTGACAGATTATTTCCGTCGCGAGTCTGTCGCAATTACGAATTCTGCAACCAAAATAGAAATTTTGCGACAGAAATAGTCCGTCACAGATTAAGCGAAATTTTGTAGTGGTATATTCGAATACGAATTCAAAAACATCAAATACGCTCTTGAATCGAATACGAAGATTTTTTAGATTCGAATTATTATCAAATACAAACTCGAATGTATGTCATTCTAAACGGATCCGAATGAATATCTTGATATTTGATCTTATTGGATTCGTATACATTCCTTTTTGAACCTATCAGAGATTGCTCTTATTTAAACAATTCGGATCGGTACTAGACGAACCCAAAATCATTCAGTACTACTTCATTCTGAAACTGAATGATACAATATCAAACCATACTCAAACCGTGCAAAAAATCAAACATGCATAACTCAAATAATATTAAAACAAAAGCAAAATTTTGTATTAAAAAAAAGTGCAAATTTGTTTAAAAAGTAATGATTTTGAATTTAAAAAGATTATAAACATACACAATAAAAAATAACCAGTCCAACTTTTGAAAATAACAATTTTTTCCCAATTTATTTAATATCAAATTTTAAAAAACTTTAAGAAAATAATGTTCATAGTAGTAAAAAATATAAGAACAATAACAATAATAATAACAATACTAATAATAATAATAAGAGAACTTTAAAAAAGAACAATACAATACGAAATACTCTATATATGATAAAGTGAAGTAGACAAAGAAGTATTTGAGTATTTGACATCCTTTGAAGATAGTTTTGAACGGTTAAGTTCGTGAAAATCGATTCTAGATTTTTGTATCACGGTCCCTTCCCATTTAACATTGGTTCAGTTTTAGGATGGAAAAAGTTAATTGTGTTTAAAAATCCTATAAAATTTTAGTACTATTAGTGTCAGGTATGATATCATGTTAGTTCAGATTTTTTTTTCCCACCTCTATGATTTGATTGATTGTGATTTTATCTGATCAAACCTGATTTGATTGGAAATGATTTGATGCGACTGGATTTGATTCTATTTTAAATGCATCTTATCTAATATGATCCAAAATAAAATTCAAAATTATTAAGATAATAATTTTATTATTATTATGATCATTATTATTACTATTATAATTATTATTCTAGATATGTGTTTTATGAAACAAAAACAATAATTGAGATTATACTGAAGATTAGAAAATTAAACTTATTAAAAACAACCAATTATTAGAAAATATAGATATTATGTTACAAAAGTGATAACTTTTTTATACTTCATGCTAATCAGGTTAAAAATGTTGATTTCGTAATAATCACGTTAGAAATCATGCCAACATTATATTTTATTTGTAAAGAATCCAAAAAAATCACTTTTATCTTTTGTTGTTTTATCCACACACACACATATAATTCAATTTAAAAATACTCCCTCCGTCCTAAAACTTTCTTCCCAGAGCACTATTCTAACTTCACGGGAATTTATATTTATTTGTGTTTTTTCATGGCCTATATGATAAAATAAATTATTCTTGTCACCACTTGTTTTGTTGAACTTTTGATATAGTTTTTAAATATGTATGTTTTATTTTTTATTTCTATACCAATATTTAAATAAAATAGATTGAAAAAACTTAGGATTTTTCTTCGTTTTGCGCAACAAGAAAAAAGATATAGGACGGAGGGAGTATCTAATTAGATATTATGATCGAATCTGATCTTATTAGATTTAACTTGACATGAGTAAATATGATATGGTCTGGTCTGATTTGACCTGATTTTGAATAAGAATAACTATTAAAAAAGTTGCACGGAAGAGACCATCATGTCCAGGTCTAGTCCGAATGGCTAGAACCCAACAGGCTATAGGGTCGATCCTACAAGAATAACACTAATTTTGGCACCACATTTAACACTTGTATGTAAATTTATGCATACACAAAATATAATCATTTGTTCACTATGTGTCTAGTTTTCCATATTTAATACATAATTCTAAAATACTCCGTATTAACTAAATGATTCTCAACTTTTGAGAACTATTTCATAAATAGTCATTTATGCCAAATATGAGAAAATGGTTTTTTCCACATATTCCTCATTAAAAACTAATTATGAAATAGTTTTTTAAAAAATAAATATCATTTATGTAATATCTTTGAAATGTGATGAAAATCATCTGTAATTAAAAACTATTTATAAAATTTACTGTTTAATAATTGTACTAACATGGGTTAACATGGAAAGTAACCAGCATTTGTACATTTGCCAAAAACTTCGTCACAGGGACAAAGAGGGAGGGTGTAACAATTTTATACTACCCCCGTCCCAAATTATTTGTCACATTTGCTTTTTCAATAGTCGCGGAAACTTTTGTTTATTTCTACGTTTTCATTGGTTATTTGATAAAATAAAATATTCTTGACACCTCTTATTTTGAAGAACTTTTCATGTAGTTTTTTGATATGTAATTTTTATTTTTTATTTATTTACCAATATGTAAATAAAATGAATTGAAAAAACTTGATATTTTACCTCGGTAATAGAAATGTGACAAATAATTTGAGACGGGGGAGTATCTAATTTAGTACCATTCTCTATGTTCTAGTGGGGTGCAATTGGTGGTGGGGGGTGTTCAGGTCGGGACTAGGTGAGCGGTATACCAAGGGGTTAGGGAAGGCTATGTTTTAGAGGGATGCAATTGAAGAAGGTGGGGGGAGGGGTGTTCAGGTCGAGGCTAGGTGAGGAGTATACCAAGGGGTTAGGGAAGGCTATGTTTTAGAGGGGTGCAATTGAAGGAGGTGTAGGGGATCAGGTCGGAGCTAGGTGAGGGGTTTACCAGGGGATTAGAAAAGTAGAAACTGTCAATTTTATGAATGAGACACCGAAACACCCCTAGGTCATCCCGTAGCATGAAATTTCAATGTCATGAGAACTCCACCGGAGAAACTTATGTATGTCCCTGAAAAAAGTATTAATCTCTCTCAAACACATTTATAGAAGCCTGCTCTATTGAGTATATTCGAAAAAACCAGTTAGAAACTTATTTTTGTTCCTAGAAAAGTATTTGGTCAAACAACTCTATTATTCATTATATTTAATGTTTTTTACATGACATAATTTTCACATGCCACATACATTATTTCCATACCCTCTGATCACCACGAGTTTCCACATTTTCTTTCTATTCTGAGAGAAGAGAAGATAGAAAGACAGAAGTGAACATTAGTAAATCTCTCCACAAAATTTTTAGCACCAGAAAATGACTTCAACCACACAGAGAGGGGTGCAAATGCGAAAATTACATTGCGGGTCTCGCTTAAGACATAAGAATGTTATGAAGGTGGGCATAATACGACGCAAAAGACGCACACATTGTTGAGATGGTTCAATCTTTTGTCGTGCACGAGTTAACGTGGCTACCTTTTATATATGTAAACCATCTTTGCATACATGTCCGCCATAGCACAATTGAAGGCTTGGGTTTTGCATGAAGTTCCCTCCCTTTGTGATCTTCATATAACTTCTATGCAGCCGGGACCTTTTTACCGTCTTCAATAAAGAAAACTGCAGACTCAGGAACCTGAAAACACCAGCACACACACACAAAGTTTAGCCTTTCTGGATTAAGGAAAATGAAGAGACTTCAAATTTCTCTTAAACCATAGAGAAATCATATTTTACAGTTAAGAAGCTGCAAAAAGAACTTAGATTGCGCCAAAACTTAAACTCAGATTATTACACGATTTTCTCTCATTACGAAGGGAAGTAGTTTAGTCCAATTAATAATCTTAGACTGAAGCAACAAGTTGAAAATTACTAATATTGAGTTAAACTACGCGCTCAAGAGGGGGAAAACATTACATTTGGCCAGGTCTCTGTAATGAAATCCACGATGTCATATGCTATATCTCCTTGCACATCAATCTGTTCCTTTTCAGTTGGGCCCTGATGTAAATGATCACAAAGAAAGGTCAAACATAGTGAGAAGCAGATAATCGTAGGGAAATTAAGAAGAATGCGAACATTTCAGCACACCTTAACAACAGAAGCTCCCGTGGCAAACTTTTTACCGAACTTCTTTGAGGCATCACTTAATTTGATGCCTGAATTATCAAAGACCATGGTTTAGCAAATGTCCACCAAAAATAGGGGAAAATGTTTATATAATGCACTAAATCTGGATAAACATCATACCAAATAATTCTAGCCCCTTGATGGTGGTGATGCATTTTCTCTTTTGGCGAGTTGTCTTTTCAATCACAATTTCCTGCTTGTCCTGAAAGCAATAGACAAAAATGCAAAATTTTTAATTCTCTTTGCACATGCAAAATGAGTTAGAGGGCTGCAGAGAGAAAAACTTAGCTTAGCTTCCTAACTTCCATCTATGGAGTACACAAATATGGATGGGAATAGCCCAAAACATATTATCATTAACTAAATTGGGTGTCCTGACTTGGGTAAGCTGGGGATGCAAATGGGACCAGGCCCATTACATTTACAGTTGGGTAAATTACGCAAACAGGACTAAAATATATCACTTCTCCCCAAATAGGATCAGTCCTATTTACGCTAACGTTTGACAATGAAAAGTTCTAAAATGCCCTCCCTTTGAAAATACTTCAAGCCATTATAAAAGAATGACCTATTACACACTTTAAGTAGAATAATGTATTATTAAAAAACAATTGGAATAGTCATTGAAATAACCAGTCATTATCCAACCTTGATGCTAATGGCCACATTCGTAGAGTCATTTGTATAACCAGTCATTATCCATCACTTGTTGCAAATGAGGGCATATATGGCAGATCATGCGAAAATATGTGCCATAAAGGAAATAAAACATACTTGGTCCTATTCAGGGAAACGTAAAACCTTTTAGTCCTACATGGAGTAAATTTTTCTTTACAGTTTACTGGTTAGGTTTATGGTCGAAGCAGAAGCGGTGGTTCAATGTTTCTCAAACACAACACCAGCCAAACAACAACAACAGCAATCCAGCTATGTCGCACATGTGTGGTATGGGGAGAGTGGGCGTGGGATCTTCTTGAAGTTCATGCCTCTGTGGTGGTTTTGAATGCAAAGTCTTGATCCTTTCCTCCATCAATGATGCAACATATAGTTTGAAAAAAGAAGTTTCTCAAGTTTTCTCCCGAAAATATGAAATATTGGCTGTGGAAGCTACAGTACCTAATAATCTACCATTATTGATACTTCATTAAGAGATCCAAGAAGTCTCAAGCTTTAAGTCACTTTTGGCAATGCGTTTGATTTTCAACGCAAGAGCAGGTGAGAGGCTACAGTGTGGCTATGAAGCTTCATATAAAACTTAAAGCGATGATAATGTTATATTCTAAGTATAGGCACGTGAATTATTTCTAAAATTATATACCATTCCAATTCAGAAGTCATAACTGTAGAGTGTTATTATTAACTCTCCAAGTGAGAGCAATATCGTACCAAGTGAAGGCATTCTATAGGTAGCCAAATGATAGAGGGAACTGAAACCTTGAAAAGTGTTAAATAGAACTGTAGAAGACACCTACTTACTATTCCAAGTCAATCTTCAAGCTCAGTTACTTTTTATGCATGCTAATATACCCCACCTAACTCAGTCCTCGATCATGGTTTTCATAGGGTTTACACATATCCGTTGTGTTTACATATATATACACCACAATTTTTTTACCTTAGAAAAAATGACCCGAGAAGACCTGGGCTCCTACAGTACTCTGTGGGTAAAATTGATGGTTCGTACCCCCTCCTAATGTTTCTCTAGATTTAAGTATGTCATACGACTGCATTTGATCAAACTAATTCACACGATAGAATTATGTACAGTACACACTATCCTACACACTATCATATTGCAGAGCATTGGCATCGAAGTGCACAAATTTTACCATGATATCAGGTCCTTTTGTTATCAAGAAATTTGGTGGAAGCATACACTTAAATAGTGATGTTTATAAGGGTCATTTCATATTTCCCTAAACAGGTTTGTGTCAGGAGCAGCATTCAGTAATCTTTATGGTCATTTGGCTCATCTTGAAACATGGACACCAAAAACTTTAGACTGTGAAAGCAAGAGGCACACTTGTTATTACAAAATTACTGTTGGGTAAACTATGTTATGTGTAATGATGATTAGGCACTATTTCTTATGTGCTCAATTCCTCTAATGCTCCTATCATTAGACATCCGGGAGCTTTTCCACCCATACCCATAAAACAAGATGCAGTTTAAGAGGCCCTATGGAGTCAGCAGCTAGAAAAAATCTAGTCATTTTGCAGGGTGAATATAGAAGTTGACCATGGACACAGACCAAGCTTATCATGTTGACACATCAAGTTGTCAGCACACCGCCTAATGGACAAGTTGGACAACAATTTGCTGATAAGCTAGCACATGCACTATCAACTACTCCCTCTGTCCCAAAAAAAGACTCTTGATTTCCTTTTTGGGACGTCCCACAAAAGACTTCTCTTTCCTTTTAAGGAAAATTTTGAGTGGCTCACACTCTTTCTCTCTCCTCTGCATCACTTTCAACCACACATTTTCACTTTCCTTAAACTTTGTGTCAAATCAAAGTGAGAGCCTTTTTTTTGGGATGGAGCGAGTATAAAATATGATACTCAAAATGATATTTGTGTCCTAAGAACTCAAAATAATATACTCCCTCCGTCCCACAAAACATTACCCATTTTGAATAGTATTTGGTCAAACAGTTACACGCTTTAACTACAAATTGTGAGAAAAGTATATTGAATTATAATATAAATTTAATATAATTGGATTCATCTTAAGATCTAGTTTTGATATATCAATTTTTTATAACATTTCTTCATTTAGATTATATTTAATTTATGGTCAAAGCGTGTAACTGTTTGACCAAAAATACATCAAAATGGGTAATGTTTTGTGGGACGAAGAGAGTATCAAATAGAAGGATAGAACTAAGTCTCATAGTACTAATGCAAAAAAACCAGTACAAAAGTAACCAACAAATTAAAATGAGTGAATTCCTAAAATGGCCCTTTATATTAGGATGTTTTCCCGAACCAGTCTTCAATAAACAACAATTCCTTGGGTGGTACTTTATAATTGATATTTATTCCCTTTGTAGTCCTTGAGGAAAAATGTCCACCAAATGACAACTAAGTGTAGTGTATTTTGGTATTTTTCATCATCTAAACTACGAGGAAGTTCTCAAAATAGTCTTTTCTAATTACATGTTCAAATCACCCCTCTAAGGCCAATAGGCTATAATTATACTCCCTCCGTCCGAAAATATTCTTCCCATTTGACTTTTCTTGGTCAAAGTTTGTAAACTTTGACTATGATATGGAGAAAAAATACATTGTATTGCGATATAACTTTTATATGAATATATTCATTTTGAAATATAGTTTTCAAATATCAATTTTTTAAAAATATATCCATGTATAAATAAAGATATTAGTGGTCAAAGTGCAATCTTGGAGACCGTAAAAAGTCAAATGAGAAGAACATTTCCGGACGGAGGGAGTAATATCCCCCGAATTGTCAGAGGACTATCGTGAGAAAAAATCTGAACAATAAAGTACCATGTAGGTAACTATTGTTTATTGAGGACTATCAAGGCAAAATATCTCAATTATGAAGTACCACATAAGTAATTATTGCTTATTGAAGACCAATTTGGGAAAACGTCTTACTAGAAAGGACTATTTTGGGAATTCACTCTATTAAATGTAGTATAGTACTAAATCCAAGTCTCCAACAAAATAAATATCTAGTAATCCACTGAGGATTCGTTTATTACTGAAATGAATAAAACATAGATGGACTGTACAAAAAAACTAGCATATAAAATAGAAGAAAAGGACAAACAGAATACAGGAAAACAAAGAGAAAATGAAATAAGAAAAATAAGAAAATAGAGAAAAAGTTACTTCCCATTTCACAGCAGTGATATATGGCAGCAACGACCTCTGGCAGCACCAGTATAGGCCAGGGTTTCCTAAGGCTGCTTAGTTTGTGTCCAAAGCCAACCTCCTTGACAACTCTGCGACTTTGTGTGTTTGCAACAGGTAATTTTCTTTTTAACTTTAAAATGAAATACATATCACATCAGCTTGGGTCAACTACCAAGTATCTGCCATTTTTTTTTGCTTTCACTGACAAGTCGTTGACCGAACAGACAAACGTTACAAGAGGCACGTCGCAAGAACTATTCACTCCTCCCTACCAATATGATAACCAGTTGACGACAAATAGCCATGCTTCGGACTTTGTAATGCTCTATACGGAATATAGGCACTTGGGCAGAGACCAAAGTCTTAAGAGTTGTATCATAACTCATAACATCATGTTCATATAAGTTCAGCCTATTGAGAGCACACACAAAGGGGGGAATGCACCCCTGAAACTCTAACACTTAGATACGTGTGGGACTGAGGGTGAAGCTATTATAGAATTACTGTAATAATCTAAAGAGCTCAAAGTTTATCCAACCAACCAGGAAGTTGTGCACCACATAAGTCATGGAACAAATACACTGTATATATGTCGACATACAAATAAGGTCAGGAAATAACGTTCCCACAAATAAAGAATGAATACGAAGTATTTTTTTATTTTAGAAAATAACATCACAAAAAAAGTTCTTACTTTCTTTTTTATCTTTCCACCTGGAAGGCGCTTTACTTCTTCCGGCTGGGGAGCTGAAGAACCTGCTCCAGCTAATAAAAAACAACACAAATTTAGATATAGAAATGCTGGGCACTAAATCAAAACGAAAAAACACATTAAACCTATTGTGACAGGGTGCTCAATCACTTGGAATTGATTAGGTTCTTTTTTAGAACCATAATTCAATTTTTTTTAGAATCTTGGAAATATCCTCACTACTTTCGAGTTGGGGTTAAGGTCTGCGTACACACCCTTACCAAACTTTATCATGTAGAATTCAACTAGGTTGTTGTTCTTGTAATTCAAATTTTTAGAATCTTTAGTGCATGAGAAAGTGATTCTTTTCTTTTTAGTGTTTGAGTGTGTATAGGTAACTGATTATTGCAGAAAATCATCAAAAGAGTATGGTAATAGATATTGTGTCAACAAAATTTGAATAAACACACACACACACACAATATTATTTGGGAATTATCTTTCCAGAATCAAAAACCAGTTTTGGAGAAGCCTAACTTCTCCAAAAGTCAGTTATGCTATACGGAAATACTCCAACATATAATTATTAGGAAAATTAGATCCAAACAATCCAAGAACCCATACATATCCCAGAAAGAAAACAACTTCATTGCAAGTATTCAACACCATAAGCACAAGAGAAAAGGAAGAAAAATTACCATTAGAGATTGATGTTGCTTGAAGCTGATTGGCCACTTTATCTGCTTCTTTTCCATCCCCTTCTGAAATGCGAAACACAGGAAAGATGCAAGTGAAACCCAAACACAGAACAGGATTTCATACACAAATGCAATATATTATACTTAGGGTTTCAACCTTTGAGAAGATCCGGATAGAGATCGGGGACGTTTTGGATCAACCACGGTTTGCATTTCACGAATTCGGGACCGAACTCGCAATACTCCGGCGGTAACCCGCAAACTCCGCAGTACAAAACTTGAACCGGTTGAGGCTTCTCCTCCGCCATCGCTGCAACTTCCTCTCTCTCCCTCTTCACCGCCAAAAGAAAGCAAAAATGCTACCTATATCCTATAGTGGGCCGGACCAAGAAATAGATTCTTGGGCATAATATTGAAGCAAAAAAGCCCACTTGTTATACTATGGACCATTTTCTTTGAAGCCCATTGCTCTCTCTTTCTCCGCCGCACACTCTGCCATGGCTCCGCCGAGAATCCTTCTCTGCGGCGACGTTGCCGGCCGTCTTAACCAGCTCTTCAAACGCGTTTCTACGGTCTCTCTATAGCTCCGTGTCCTATAGAACAAGTTCAGGAGTATACCTATCGATTTAATTTAGATTTTTGTTTTGCTTGAATGTATGATTCAGGTGAGCAAAGCGGCGGGTCCGTTCGACGCGCTGCTGTGCGTGGGGCAGTTCTTCCCGAACGCGGCGGAGGATTTGGAGGAATTTAATGGATACATTGAAGGCCGCTCCAAGATTCCTCTTCCGACCTACTTCATTGGCGACTACGGCGTAGGCGCGCAGAAGACCCTCTCGGCGGCTTCCAGGGAACTGGGGAATCAAGGGTTTAAGATGGATGGATTGAGAGTATGCAATAATTTGTACTGGCTGAAAGGCAGTGGAAGATTCACTCTTCATGGTAATGCCAAAAAGAGTATGATAATTTAAATCTTATGATTACATTTATGTAAATTACTGCATTTTGTTATAAATTAGGAGTTTTTTTTATGAATTTCTTATGATAGTTAATTGACATGATTTGCACATTCATATCTAGGTTTATCTGTGACCTACTTATCTGGTAAGAAATCTGAAACTGGTTCTCAAGTGGGCACATACAGCCAAGACGATGTTGATGCACTGAGAGCTTTAGCTGAGGAGCCCAGAGTCGTAGACATATTCCTCACATATCCTTTTCATGTCTGAATGGTTTGTCTTTTCTTGCTCTCTAATTGGGAGCGTGTAAGTAACCTGTCTACGATGAGCATTTGTTTCTTTCCTTAATCAGACATCACTAACGAATGGCCCCGAGGAGTCACAAGCATGGCTTCTTCATCTGCTATTCCCCCAGGAATCTCAGACTCATTGGGCAGTGATTCCACAGTGTCTGAATTAGTAGTGGAGATAAAGCCCCGGTAAGTTTCTCACTTCTATAAATCAACTTAGTTGATGGGCATTCATTACTTCTTAGTTCTCATAGATGTTTGCATGTTTTGTGCCCTCACGACAAATCCATCTCCCGCCATTAGTTATTTATTTGATAACTGGCTTTGTCATGCTGTTCATTCTTGATGAGGAGGATAAGAGATTCAAAGCAAATGCCACAATATGTGACTTTTATGTTGTCAGTTTTTTTATGTATGTGTGGTCTCTTCTCCACTGCTTTCTCAAGCTTGATTTACACCACAGAAGCAACGAGGACCTCTTCCTTTTTCTTGAATGTAGAATCAGCCTTCTTAAAGTTACTGCTTTGGATGGCATAGAATTATAGAATCATATAGCATATTAGCTTTAGTACTTACGGAGTATTTTATATTGAATTGGAGTGTCCAAAGTCCAAACTGTGGCAACGGGCCAGCACGTAATGGTAAATTGTGATAAGGGGCAAGTAGATAGTATGGTAAATGCAAACAGTGATGTTTTGACTCTTTCTCCTGACCACATTAATGCACTTCCATATATAATAAGAGACTGGAAGATGAATATGATTTTACTCTTTAATGCATTGTATTTCTCCTTTTCACATTCTTAAACTCTAATGTTGTTGGAATTGACTGGATACTTAAACTTTGAGACTTCCTCTTATGGAACATATTCCTTGAGGCAGGTACCACATTGCTGGAAGTATGGGTGTATTCTATGATCGTGAACCGTATGCCAATGAGAATGCTACACACGTAACTCGATTTATAGGCTTAGCTCCTGTTGGAAATAAAGATAAACAGGTTCTGGCATTACTCCATGGAATTCCTTTTAACTGCTTTGTAGTCTGTCTCGTTCTCTTTCTCTGGTCTTAGCATGCTTCTTACTTTTTCTCCTCGCAAATAATTATATATATATATATATATATATGAATGGCACAATCTTATAATGGATGAGTGCCATTACATTTTCTTCTAAATGAATCTGTATCTTATATAGGTATACTGGTATAGTTATTGTTGGAACATGCATAAGCATAACTGTGCTAATAAAAGGTAGAAACATTTGTGTGCTGCTTCTTGGAATGTAACGACTCGCTTTCCATTTAATGGTTTCCAGAGATTCATTCATGCAATTTCTCCCACTCCAACATCTTCAATGTCTAAAGCTGAGTTAAGCACAAAACCACCAAACACTACTTTATCTCCATATGCATGTGTTGACAAAGCTGCTCCAACTGAGGGATCAGCAAAAAGACCTGGCGATAGTGCTTCTGATTCGCAGTATTGGAGATATGATGCTTCTCAAAAGAGACAGAAACGGGGTGATGGTGATGCTGCTAAGTTGTGCTATAAGTTTATTCTTTCTGGATCTTGTCCACATGGGATGAAATGTAACTTTCAGCATGATGAAGAAGCAATGGAACAGTACAAAAGGGGTGTGTGCTTTGACTTTCTCGTCAAAGGGAAATGTGAAAAAGGTCCTGACTGCAAATTCAAGCACAATTTGCAAGGTGACTCTGTTGTACCTCAATCTAGAGAGGCAAGCTCTAACAGGTTGATATAATTGAGGAGTTAATAGTTTACCATAATTTCCTTTTAAGTATTATTCACGCGGTTTCGTTTTTCCCAGATCAAGAGAATGCTGGTTTTGCTTGTCGAGCCCTAATGTGGAGTCACATCTGATTGCTAGTGTTGGAGAATACTACTACTGTACACTTGCCAAAGGACCTCTAGTACCAGATCACGTGCTGATTCTGCCCGTTGAACATGAACCTAGCACCCTATCTCTGTCATCTGAATGTGAACTGGAACTAGAAAGGTTTCAGAATGCTCTCAGGGCTTACTTCAAAAAGAATGGAAAGGAAGCAGTTTTCTTTGAGTGGGTCTTTAAACGAAGAACTCATGCCAATCTCCAGGTACCAAGAACTGTAATGATTAATAATGTGTTAGCAACTAATTTTTTAGCTATTAAATGTGTAATTGGTTATTAGTCCGTTCAGGAACAACATTTGTAATTGGTGTTAGAGTTTTGGATACTTTTTTAGCGTTTAAAAGTGCTAAAGCTAAATGCTACCCTTGAATGGTTTCTCCAAAATGCCAAAGCTAAACTCCAACACTAATGACAAAGGAGGGCTATATCACTTTTCTATTGGTCTTAGAATTTTCATTTATCATAACTAAAAAACTACTTGTACTCCCTCCGTCCCTCTATATTTGTCCACTTTCAAAGTGGCACAAATACCAAGGTGAGGAGTAAAGTGACACAATTGCCCCTAGTTACCCAACATCCCTCAACCGCCCGTCATTCCCGATGTCCACCGTCCACCCAACTTCATGCCCCACATCCAATCTCCAATGTCTTCCACTGTCCAGATACCGTTTGCCGTCGTCGATCTCCTTTGTTACTTTTGTTAATTATTAATCTGCTCTTTGCTAGTTTCAATTTTTTGTTTGTTCTCACACTCCATCTGACTATCCGGGACAAGGAATCCAAAGCGCCAAAGTGAATATGGCCTCAATCCTGTTTGGATGTAATTTTTTGTAGGTACATAGGAACGAATTACAGTCTAGAAAAAGGTGCATCTATAATGATTTCCAAAGTGTCTGAGTGACTATTTGGATCCTCAGTTAGAGTCACTTTCAAGAGTAACACATTTAAGGCCCCTGTCCCAAGCTACTACCGAGTTTCCATGAAACCTTTACTGCAAAAAGTGCAAAGTTGCCTCTGGTGCCTATATGTCTCAGGATTCCACCAAGCCATCTGCCACCTAAAATAATACATCCAACCCAATTCTTAAATCACATGGTCCAGTGCGCAAATGCACAATACTCAAACTCGGGTGTGGTTCGTGCAACATTTTCTTTCTTACTCTCCATCAAACATGTTTTTTTTTTCTGGACAAATACACAAGTTCTCGAAACAGTGGTAGCACTTGGGGATCAACCCTACTCAGCATTGGAGATTATCTCAGTAAGATCACCAAGTGCTGACTAGGTAAATGATAGCGTTCAATGCAGGAGGATACTCATGAATGGAGAAGGAGATCCTCGAGGATGAGGCTATGGTGATGAATCAACTCAGTTGATTCATAGATGTAACATAATTGAGATGAAAGAGGGAGAGAGCGATGAACCGAGAGGTAGAGAGGAAGGGAGAAACTGGGAAATGGATTATTATTTCATTTGTTGCTTTATTACAGAGAGGGGAAAGAGATATTTATAGAGCTAATTGGCCTAACAAACTTAACCAATTCCTAATCACTAACCTCCTGTATCAGTAAACATGCAGCGGGCAAAAACATTTATTGTAGAAACTTTCATTCATAGTAATCCATGCAGAGATCTAACAAGCTGCGGCTCTTACGTTTTCCCGTGGCATTTTTTTGAGGGGGGCATACACATAGAAATGCCTCAAGTTGTGATAATTCCTTCAGGTTTCCACGTCTGAGTACTTGACCACTAGATAACATATACACACATGCACACAAATTTGACTTAGCTCACTCTCACCAGAGTTACACTTAACAATCTTGATTGTCAAGGAACAGAGTATTCATGATACTGATTGATTTGATTCAGTGTTACGTTCGTTATTGTATATGTTCTAGCCGATACTTTGGATTATGTCATCGTTTTATAATACTAAGTGATTGTTTTATAATTCGGCCATATTTCAAATGTGATCTTGACCTTAGACGCCAAGTGATGATGGTCAAGTGGGGAACAAAGGGTTGTTATTATATTAAGGTTGAGTCTAATTGCTTTCACAACCTGACATCGATTTATTCCCCCACTATGTTTTCAGCATTAATTCATTTGTTCATGTATTGTGGCACCTACATTGGAGGATACTGATCAGAGTATAGGATTAATACGTCATTGTCTCTGCTTAGAAATTTCCCCTCTGATGAATCCCTGTTTGAGAGCTTGAAGCTTTGCTTCGCCTTTCATCTTAAAGCTTGTTTTTCTGCCTGGTTTTAGGATGCATATAAGGCTACTGTCTCTGCTTGCAGGTAGTTCCTGTCCCATCAAACAGGGTGGGAGCATTGCAAAACATTTTTAATTTGGCTGCTGAAAGATTGGGTATTAAGTTTACAACCACCAAAGGGTTCAAAGGTAAAGCGTACACTAATATCTGTAGCAGGAAAAGTCGGTTTCTTTCCCTCTTGCCCATACCAAAATGTCAAAAATTAATAAATAGAAATAAAAAAGTAAAGCATAAATAAAGAATAGATAAAGTAACTCAAATCTGCACTTGTAGAATGATGCATGTTTCTCAAGCTTGCACTATTTATTTAACTTTATGGCCTGGAAATTTGTAATTTACTTATTTATGTCCCTTCTTTATATTTTCCATGATGTGTCTATATGCCTGCATTTCAGAAAGTATTATTGTTTCTCAAACTATACTTTATTTAATTTATATGCAGAAGATTAGTATGTGACTACATTCATCTTCATTGGTTATTTAATCCCAACTACGTTGGGCCTGTGGCATGAGATATATAGTGTCAACGAATTTTCTATTATTGGGAGCCATTCCATGCATTGTTAACCCATCTATTTAGTTTTGGTACTGAATGACTATCTCTGTGTCAAGAAGTTTGTCGTGGATATAATACAGTTAACCACTTTGCATATCCTTCTGTTTGTGTCTGCAGCGCGAGAACAATTACGGACAGAGTTTGATAAAACTTGCAGCCTATTCTATGTGGAACTTCCCGGAGATACAATTCTATCACATGTTGTTAAGGAGCATGAAAACTTCCCTTCTCAGTTTGGGCGTGAGGTAAGATGCTAACAAACATCCAATATAATGTTAGTAAGTTTTGTACTGCCAACACTCATTACTCTCTTCATTCCTAAATAACTGTCTATTATGACTTTTTTAGATACATTGGATTTTGGATGAATGTGGTCAGGCATTATGTGTACGTTCTTGATGTATCTTCAAAGTCACAGTAGACAGTAATTTATGAATGACGGGAGTATGGTAGATGCTGTGTCCATCTGAGTTTGTTAGATTTTGAAGATCTGTGTAACGTGTAGGTTTTGGCTGGGTTGTTGCAAATGGCAGATAGGGCTGACTGGAAAAACTGCGCGCTTAGCAAAGAGGAAGAGATGAAAATGGTCGAGTCTTTCAAGAGCGGATTTCAAGAATATGATCCAAATCAGTGATTCGACGGACAAGGTATTGAAACACAACAACAAGACACAGTAGTCTTTGAATTTGAAGTTAGAAGAAGAGAGCATACACAATTGGCCACATATCTAATAGTATTAATGAGGCTAATGTGATAGGGTTTGAGTTTTGTGGAGCCATTCTTTGGCCTTTTTTTTGGACAAAGTGCTAAAGTGTTTTTGTTAGAAATAGGACCAGGTAGTGTACAATTTGGCCATGTACTCGAAATTAATGCAATTCACACAGTAATCCTTTCATGGCTGTGGGTGTTAATTCAAATGCAGGCATAACTCACAATGAAAGGACTTTAATTTCATTCCGATTTTCACAAGACCCAGCGGCAAAGCTTTCAGATATGGCATATCTCCATCCTTCCTCCTCCTCCTCTGACAAAGCTTTCACGGCCAAGCAGTGGCGGCAAAGCATTCAGGCGTTAGCAAGCTTTCAGATCGAGGCGGGGGTGGGTCTGTGAGACGGAAGGGTGGGGCTGGGCAACTATGGGTTTGAGTGAGATGGAAGACGAAGGCCCTGTTTGGCATCAGCGTTAGTAATTAGCACTAGCGTTTTGAAAAGGCTATCCGACGGTAGCCTTTAATGTCGGCGTTTTTAGAACTAATATACACTATTAAAATTTTATTTAAAATGCGAACGCTAATAAAAAAACGTTGTTCCCAAACAAGGTGGAACCGTGGAAGTAGATGGGTAGAAAACGGAAAGGGCAAAATAAAAAAGTCCTTGTTTTACATTAAAGTGTGTGCCAAGTAAAAATGAAAAGAATCAATTTGGACAGTGAGAGTATTGATTAATTTATGTACATGCTCAGAGCGTACATATAATAAAATTCCAGAGTACTCTCTCCGTTCTAAAATATTTTTCTCAGTTACTATTTCCATGATCAAACTTTAAACACTTTCTTTACTTATTTTCGTTACTTATTTGATAAAATAAGAGTAAATTCCCAAAATGGTCCTTTGTAATAAGGACATAATGTGTTTTCTCAATTCAGTCCTCAATAAATTTTAATTATCTACATGGTCCTCTATAATTGAAATTTATTTCCAAGATACTCCTTCGTAAATAATGTTACTCAAATGATGATTAATAGGGAGATATTTTGGTATTTTGATCATCCAAATTTAAAGTATATTCTCGAAAAAGTTATTTCTATACAACTAAATATAAAATTAAAAAATACATTGACTATAAATAATTTATTAATTATTTAAAACTTATAAAAAAATATTTTAAATTTCAAATCAAATACACATCTCTAATTAGAAAAAACCATTTTGGGAAAGTACTTCATTATAAATGATCATTTTAAGATTTAATTCTAAATTTAGCGGATAAAAAAATATCAAAATACCCTCAATTAATCCTCATTTGAGTAACATTATTTATGAAGCACCATTTTAGGAATAAATCTCAATTATAGAGGACTGGGTAGGTAATTAAAACTCACTGATGACTGATTTGGGAAAAACACCTTATTACAAAAGGACTATTTTGGAAATTTAATCTATATAGACTTGTCACCTCTTGTTTTATAGAACTTTTGGCGTATTTTTAAAACATATAAATTTTATTTTTTAATTTTACATCTGCAATCAAACAAATTGAATAGAAAATAAATTCGGTCAAATCTCGTAAACACAAATGGGAAGAACGTTTTAAAACGGAAGGAGTAGTATATACACATTGACAAGTTACATAGAGTTGATTAGATAAACAAAAATGTATACAACTTGAAACATACAATATAGTGGGTGTTTCTCTATGCTTATAAGCAGGTTAAACTGCTTATAAATTTTTTTTAACTTATAAGTTAGTTGATGACGTATTTCTATGTGCTTATAAGTTAGAAAAAAGCAGGGTCTACTTACTTATTTTAAAGCCAATTTTTTTATTTCTCTGTTTTGACGAGATTGTTTTTAAAACTGTCTCTAACCATTTATGAATATTTACAAATAATTTATCTACCATTTAAGTCCTTTTACTTTCACGAAAAATATTTGATTTATAAGCTGATTATAAGTTAAAAACTGTTTATTAGTAATAAGTCAATAAACACTACTATAGAGAAACACCCATATAATTTTCTTGCTTTGCGTGATTTTAAATGCTTTAGGCTTTGTTTGGTTGGAGGAAAGGACATTTGAGTCTCTACTCTTGTTTGATTTTAAAAAAACGTGAAGGGAGAAAATTCAAAAATTTAGCTTCAATTACTCCCTCTCCTCTCCAAATTGAACGAATTCTTCTTCTCGACTGTTCTTGTCTTCTTCTGTCAATTTTTTCTTCACCTTGCCATTAAAAATAATAAATAAACAAAAATTATAAAATTAAAATAAATGAAATAATAATAATAAATATATATTTAGAAAACATAAGAGTAAATAAATAAAATAAATCATTATAAAATAACAAATAAAAAACAGGAATAAAAAGTAGAATAATAAAATAAAGAATAAAAATAATAAAATAAATAATAAAGAATAAAAATAATAAAATAAATAATAAAGAATAAAAATAATAAATAACAATAATAAATAAAAAAAATTAAATATATGACAAATTTACTTAGCGAGTATCTACGCCACTTCTTCTTGAAGACGAATAACCATACTATCAGCCAACGTCAAACAAACCCTAATCAAGTAGGGAGATAGGAAGAAGAACCAATGTCAAAAATCCTAAACACGCAAGGAAATAGCCTAATGTAGATTTATTTGATTATATAATAAAAACAAAATAAAAAAACAAGTTAATTTGGAAAAGAAGGCTTAGTATGTCTCCAAAATCCAACTTTGAGATTACAATTCCAAATTGCAAAATGAGTATTGTCTAGCTAATTAAAAAGTGATTACTCATTGGCAGAGTTTTTTAAAAAGTAAATTGTATAATTAGTTGTTTATAACAAATGAATTTTCCTATTTAGTCGTCTATTATCAAATATTAACCATGTAGTTCTTCATGAGTGTTTTTCTACAAATAGTCTTTTTTTATCTTCTATCATGTTGGCGTTAATTTAAAAGCTAAAAGTATTATTTGACGTCAACCATGTGTCCAGTGACCTATTCTGATATTTGTTAGATGGATAACATAAAATTAATGACTATGATGTTAGTAGAAAATGACGTTAATTCACAAACGACGCATCAGAAACGCCCTTTGGAATTGTGTATGACAAGAAAAATATATTATCACTGTGAAATTATACTTTTAATCATCAAATTTATCAAAATATTTATAAAAAGGACTATCAGAGTAATATTTAAAAATAAAAAACTAAATAGAAAAAACTTGTACTATAAAAAACCAATTATTTAATTACTCTTTAAAAAATTAAAAGTGGATAAGGAAAGACAAAAGACTCAAAGAGTGTGTTTGGACAGTCATTCCCTTGGTCCCTTCAAATCTATTTAGGTCTTTTCCCTTCTTCCCCACCCGCCCAATCCTCGCGTTTCTGCAACTACCCGTTCACAGTAGCCATTTTCAGGTAGGTTATCCTTCGAGCTCACCGGCCTCCTTTTCAGCTTAATCCGCCATGGAAACTCCCCAGCAGCTGCCGAAGAAGCGAGGCCGTCCGAAGGGTTCTTCTACGAAGTCCAAAGAGGACCGAGATCGCGAGCAGCCGCACTCCGCCGCCGCCACTCCCAAAGCCAGGGGGCCGGCATCTGACAAGAAGTCCGGTGCTGCCGCTGCTGATGAGAAATATGTGCAGTGGAAGTCGCTCGTTCCCGTCCTCTATGACTGGCTTGCTAATCACAACCTCGTCTGGCCTTCGCTGTCCTGCAGGTGCGACGCCCTTCTTTGTGCCCTATTTTCTTTTTATTGTTTCTGTATGGATCTTTTGGAAGTATTTATTTGGGTGTGTGTGTGTGTCCGTGTTTGAGATCTCAAACCCTACATTTCCTGATGTGCTCCAGGGCGCTTGATATCACTGTTTATAAGTGAATATATATGCATTCCTAAACGTTATTAGAAAATTGTCTTCCATGTACGTAAGAACACCGGAGTTTTTTACTTGCTATTGTGGGTAGGGCGTGAGATATGTTTGCTTGTCAGTGTTTTTTGCTTGCTATTGTGGGTTGGGTGTGAGGGGTGTTTGCCTGTGATGTTCGTGTTGGGTGACAAAATAGTTGAGAAAGATTGAATGCTCATAAAGAAATAGATAATAATCATGATCAATTTCTGAATACAAAAAGTGGTTCAATGATTTTTTTGTTTGAAATCCGGTTTAGCTAGGTTAGTTACTATGTAGAGCTCACAGATCAGCCATTTTGTTATATGATTCCATTGAAAGCTTGAAATTGATTGGTTATAGGAAAGTTATGAAGTAAAATGAAGATGGTTGATGACCTCTTGTCTCACTTGTACTCCATTTTACTAGTTATGAGTTTATGACCAATACTCTCGAATCACGAATCATAACCTCTTGTCTGTCTTATCTGCTATTGAATTTTGCCAGTGCCAAATAGTGTAGCTAAAAGTGAGGTGATTAAGATCATCAATCATACTTTTAGTTTTTTGCGGTTGATTGACTATACTGTATCCACACTTGCCTCATACTGTATTTGTATGAATAGATGGGGTCCCGTGGTTGAGCAGCACAAGTTCAAAAACCGCCAGCGTCTATACCTTTCAGAACAGGTTTGTCTACTTTCCCACTAAACCGCGGGGTCATTTATTTTTTTGATAATAAATACTCCGTAACTAATCCAAGACTTTTTAATTTTTTTACTATTTGTGTTTCTTGTATCCTAAATCCTATCTTGGTGAAAAGCATGTTACATTGAATTTATGATTGCATGTGACATTAGTAAAACTAGTTAAAAGGTTTCTTCTCCTTGTCCAATCTTACATGAGTTTCCATTTCTTTAAACTACTCCCTCCCTTAATATACTCCGTGCTTGCCTGGTTGGCTTTTGCAGGTCATAACTTGTTAAGTTTGACCTTCAATATTTCATAAGTTATAGATATTTTATTATATGAGAGCAATCTCGATTAGTCTGTCCCAATATATAGCTTCTTAATGTTATTTTCTCGTAACTTTTGTTAATATTCCGTATATAATAAAAATAAGTATGGTCAATGATTTCCCTGAAAAAGTATGGTCAATGATGAATGTTGGAGAAAGTGAAAGAGCAAATGTGAAATTTATTTAAGAATAGAGGGAGTTTATATTATTCTCGAGGAGTTTTGTCCGAGTTATATTAGGTTACTCTAGGTTGTAAGTTAAAGTTCTTGAGGATTAATGTGATGTGAGGTAATTTGACGTGTTGTTTGGTCAGAAATTATGACTATGAGAGTGTAATATTATCATATTTGTATGTTTCAATGATTTATTTATTCTCCTGATGTTGTTTCGTTATGAATTATGATCGTAAGAAATAAATCTCAATAAATTTTTTTGTATTTTTATTTATTTGTGTATTTATAGGGATTTAATAATAATTTAAATGCTAATAGTAAAAAATCAGTGATTGGATGTAAATTGATAACTAAGGGTTTGTTGGGTTACATCAGTAAACCAATTGTATCGGAGAACCTTTTTTGTAGCATGACATCTTAGAAATTCTTCATCTAATTTAGAAGACAAAATTGGAACATAAAAAATTAATAGCAATGCCTAATAAACTAAAAACAAATCTCAAGGTGATCTGAAAAGCATCAACATTATGTTATTTGCTGATGTGAAGGTATTGTAATATCACTTTGACACTAGTCTATTCTTATTTCCTCTTTCTACTTTTGGATATATTATATATATGACTGATAGTTTCCCTCAGCTATATATTTTATTTACTGACCCCCNGATCAATCAGTGCCAAACACTTTGATTGTAGCCAACTGTGATGTTGTTCGACCCAGGATTGCAGCAGACAGTCACATATCACAAGTATCTATGCTGTTTCTTTTTTCCAAAAATTGTCTTAATTATCTTGCTCAATCACTTAATACTAACTTCTCCATCTAATTTGGTTTTCATACTTCTTGCATAGTTCAATGATGAATCCCGCTCACCTTATGTCAAGAAGTACAAAACCTTAATACACCCAGGGGAGGTATGGAAACTTTATACACGCTCAAATATTTGAACACACATTTCCTGTATGTGATTAAAAATAGCATATGTGAATTCTAAAAAAAACATTAGCTGTGGTCTTAAGGAAAAGAATTCAAATAAATACAGTGTTCATCCTTTTTAAAAATGTAATTGTCAGCTGGTTATACACATGGAAAGTAAAAATATATTGAGATATTTGTAGTTTATTCTTTTGGGCATCCTTTTACGTGGACAAGATTTTAAGGCAGATGAATGGACATTGTGCTTTTGTCTGGTTGAACATTAATAATTAATGTGTTGCAGGTTAACAGAATCAGAGAGCTTCCTCAAAATAAAAACATCGTGGCAACACATACTGATAGTCCCGAAGTACGTGGTTGTACACCATAGTTTTTCTTGTTTCTATGATTATATTTTATCCTTTATGCTTACTTCTAATCGGTATTTGCTCCTAGTTACTTGAAAGATGAATCGTAAAACAAATTTATCTTTAACATTAGGTTTTAATTTGGGATGTCGAGACTCAACCTAATAGGCATGCTGTTATTGGAGCTGCTACGTCACGCCCAGATTTGGTTTGTATCCTTCCATTCTTTATAAGTATTTTTCAGATGATTTTTTATACATAGTTTCTTGGTTTCTACCATTTATTTATTTTACAATAACTCAAGATCACATATACTTATCTGGCAGGCTTTCCTCATGTGCAAAGAGACTTTTGTTAGGAAATGTAGTAGTTATATGAATCTGTTCCTTTTCTTAATGTATTTTCTTTGTGCATAAATGGATATGTACAGGTTAAGTTGAACAAATATCAGTATTCATTTATTCATAAACTTGCACCCTTTTCTTGACTATAAGTGTTGCATTGATGTAATGCTTTTGTGATGGGGATATTTTGTGGCTGTTTTAGTTGGTCAGAATTGCTTATAAGTTGTTTTAAACTTATATTCAGATACATGTTTCATTGTGCTTATAAGCTGACTTATAAGTAAAAAAAGTAGCTCTTACCCACTCATTTTTGTTTTTTGTTTCACCATTTAGACCAAATCTTTTACAAAATTATCCCTAACCATCTTTACATATTCCCAAATGACTCATCTCTCATTTAAGTCTCATTACAAAAAATACTTCAATAAGCAGCTTAATTCAAAAACTGATTATCACTGCACAGAGAAACACCCCTTAATGTTTTTAATGGGCATTGAGAAATGTAGTAATTGAACTATACCTTTAGCATTTGGCACACACATAGGGGGAAGTCAACAAAATTGCTAGTTTTGTATCTCGAGATCAAACTGTTCTCAACGTTTAACTCAGAACAGTATGGGAACTGTTTTTCTTTTCAAACTTAATCAATATATTACTTTTAGCTTCGTGATAGTTATTGACTCACTTGGGATAAGAGGTTTAATGGAAAATAGTAAAAAGTTATAACGACCTATAGTAGCGAGAATAGAGGTTCAATGCAACCTCAATTTTTTCTCTCTACTTGCTTCACCCTGTAACTTTTTTGTAGACAAATTAATGTGGTTTGGTTCAACAATACCTTCCAATGCTATGTAAGAGATTATATATTGCACTTTTAAGTTTTGTTAGTGTATTAACCAACATTTTTCCTTTCTTTAAACCAGACATTGATTGGACATAGCGAAAATGCAGAATTTGCTTTGGCAATGTGCCCTATTGAACCCTTTGTGCTCTCTGGAGGTTGGAATCCTTTCCTTATTTACATGATTGAATTTTCAACCCTTTTTTGTGTGGTTGCATCTTTACAGTATGTTGGGAGAACAGAGTGTAATTACATGGCAGTGTAATTACAGAGATTTTTATTTACATTACGTGGACTCTGGACTGTTTGGTAGTCACAGTGTAATTACTCAATTACTAAGTAATTACACTGTATGTGCTTACTTATGGAAGAGTGTGATTGAGTTTTTTTAAAATTTTGCGGCCATTCCGGTTAACCAAACATGCCAAAAAGTGTAATTACACGCAACTACACCAAATCCCAATTACACTTGTTATCTAAACAGGCTCTGAATGTTATTGCATAACTATTTTATACGGAGTACATGATAATTAGTATCTGCACATAGGTTATTGATTACTCATTTGTTACACTAAACCAACAACAACAACCCAGTTAAATCCCACAAGAGTAGGGTCTGGGGAGGGTGTGTGTACGCAGACCTTACCCCTACTCGAAAGTAGAGAGGCTGTTTCCAAAGAGACCCCCGGCTCAACGCCGAAAGTTGCATTGCTTGACTAACTGCTACTTCATTAATTAAAGAAGCGCAGACAGTTTAGAGATCCATTTTGATTTATTCCATCACACCCCAAAGCCAAAAAATGGTGAAATTTTGGCTCCATCGGAGATGATGGGAATATGTTACACTAAACCTTTCTCCTTATTTTATTTAAATTGGGTGTAACTCCCCAAAAAAAATAAATTTCAAAATGTGACATGTGTACACTTGTATACTAGTACTAGACAAAGCTCAAACCTAGTAGACATCCAATGTTGCATCAAGAGTATGGTCTGATTTTGGTTTGTGTGATGCGCCTCTAACTGGTGTGGGGAAGCCAATTTGGAGTTGGTATGGGTCAATTGTCCTGTCCGAACTGTGCTAAGGGGGTGTGTTGAGTATTCCTTATCTATTGTCTATTATGTGTTATTCTTTGATGTTTTTGGGGGGTGGGGTTATTGGACTCAGGACCTCTTGGTGAGTATGAATTTTACCATTGAACCACATCCCTTGTTCTTGTCTATTACTTCCTCCGTCCCTAAATTAAAGTCACTCCTTCCATTTTTAGTGTCCCAAAATTAAAGTCGGACTTCTCACATTTCCTTTTGAGGAAAAGAATACATGGCTCACAATGTTTGTCTTATTTAAAAAATTCTAACCACCCACTTGTCACTTTTTAACATTCTTTTCTAAATTCTGTGAAGTCAAACAGTGACTTTAATTCAGGTACGTATGAAGTATGTTTTAGTCTAATTACTCTAACATATGTATAATTGTGACATCAATTGCACCTTTGAGAGGATCTCATGAGTAAGGCCCAATTAACGATATGAAATATGAATGATTTGTTTACGTCAATATGAATCTAGCATTTTCTTGTGAACTACTTTGATAGGAAAAGACAAATCTGTGGTATTGTGGAGCATTCAAGATCATGTATCAACATTGGGGACAGATGCACAAAAAGCTGCTGGTCCATCCATTATTGCTTCTGATAATCCCTCTATTGGAGCTCGTGGAATCTTCCAAGGTCATGAGGATACCGTTGAAGATGTTCAGTTCTGCCCCTCAAGGTAGCTGGATCTATCCTCTTCATTTCTGATGTAGCTTATGTAAGCTTTCTGATCAGTCTTTTTATTCTCTTATAATCCCTTGGAACAGTCCTCAGGAATTCTGTAGTGTTGGTGATGATTCCTGCCTGGTTTTATGGGATGCTCGAGTTGGTTGTACTCCAGCTGTGAAGGTCCAACTTTTTTTCCACTTTATTTGATGTATGTTTTTTATGCGGAGTAATGAAGTCTGATCAATTGTTGTAACTTGTAAGATTTTTTCAAAGGTCTTATTGCGAAAACACTCCCTCCGTCCCACTATTATTGGGATATGAGAGTGGCACGAGAGTTAAGTAAAGTAGGTTTGCGTGGTCTATATTGGTGTTAAAAATAAGATAAAGTAAGAATGGATGTGAACCAAAAAAATATGACCAAATATGGTATGGGATAAAAGTAGGGGAACATACAAAAAAAGGTTTAACGAAAAAGACAAAGATAGGACAGAGAGTATTAGATTTGGAATACTAAATAATTAGTGGTCTTTTATCATTTTGTTTCCAAATAATAATAATAATAATAATAATAATAATAATAATAATAATAATAATAATAATAATAATAATAATATAATTATCCTTACAGGTTGAAAAGGCTCATAATGCTGATTTACACTGTGTTGATTGGAATCCTCATGATGTCAACTTTATTATCACTGGGTATACCTCTCATCAGTCTCAGTGAATTCTGTTATCGATAAAATGAATGACACTGTTCTGAAGGGCTCACTGGTTCTACTGATGATGTCACTCAGATCCGCAGATAATACTGTCCGCATGTTTGATCGGCGTAGTTTAACTTCAAGTGGAGTTGGCTCACCTGTTCATATCTTCGAAAATCACAATGCAGCAGTTCTCTGTGTACAGGTATGCAGTTGGCTGTCTTCTCCATTCTTCTTCCTGTGCTTCATATTATTTGCTGCCAATTCTAGTGAATTTTCAGATAAACGTAGTTAGACTAAGTATTTGTTTTCCTCTCCAGTGGTCTCCTGATAGGCCTTCTGTTTTTGGGAGTTCTGCAGAGGACGGTCGTTTGAATATATGGGATTACGAGAAGGTAAGGTTCTCAAAGGAATCACATTTCATCAAGCTTGATGTATTGTATGGTTATCTTATGGAATTACGCTTTTTGTCCTTTCAGGTTGGTGTGATGGACATCGAGACACCTGCTCCAGGGTTATTTTTCCAACACGCGGGGCACAGGTCGGTACCATGAACTTGTGCATTGCTCGGATTGCAATATTCTCAAGTTCTTTTTTGGCTTATGCATAAATATTCATTAGCCGTGAACCATTGGTTTCTTCATTTTGCTTGATCATATGGTTTTCTGGAGATTGTTGCTTCCATTTAGGCTTTGTTCTTTTGGGTTCCAACTCTTAACTTCCAACGTTTTCCTATTCAATATAAAATTACAAACCAAATGTAAGTCTCTACTGTTCAAAGTCAGGATAAAAAGCCAAATCTGTCTTAATTAATCATACTTTTATAGTACTAAAGGGTAACACTCTTAAACACCTTACATTTTCATGACAGAATCTCACACACTTCTTGTTCTAAGCACTAACACCTTTCCTCCTTAAAAAGATGATATACCCATGACCCATCAATCCTTCTCAATAGTTTAGCAAGAACCATGCTTTATAAAATTTACTTCAGTTAAAGTAACTTAGACACAATGATATGCCTAATTTAATATTCCAAGTCTTGATAATCCCTGTGCATCCTACTACTTTCGTTCTGTGCTTGTCAAATGCATATGGCAGTGTATCACTAGATTGATGTGAAACTGCTAGCGAACAATCTTTATAAATGATTCATTTATTTAAATGATGAAACATCATCATAACATTTATTCGTACTCCGTATTAGTTTAGAATCGTATTGGAGTTCCTTTTTTATGAACACAAACAGACTTATACAAGTGGAAATAAAGTAACCCACTCACTGCAAACATTCAAATTCCTTGCGTCACTGTGTGTGTTCAAACCAGGGATAAAGTAGTTGACTTCCACTGGAATGTAGCCGATCCATGGACAATTGTTAGTGTATCCGATGACTGTGGCTCTACAGGTGGAGGTGGTACGCTGCAGGTATATATATCTACACTTGAAAAAAACATAATTTGATGAAACCATTCTTTTCCAATGTTCTTTAGCAGTTTTTCTCAATGTACGTCTCCCCCCCCCCTGCAGATATGGCGTATGCTGGATTTGCTATATCGTCCCGAAGAGGAGGCTCTGGCCGAGCTTCAAAAGTTCAAAGACCATGTCAGCCAGTGCACACAAAAGCGTGAGTCCTGAGGAATAGGTGCTTCTACTAAACTCTCTTCCTTGAAGTACAATTCTAGTAGGGTACTACCAAACATTTCTGGACTTGTCTTCCTAGGTTTTTTGTGCAATGCTTTATTGTAGAATATATGTAGAGCTGCGATGGGTAGATATTATATAGTTTGTGATCTATGTTTCTCGTCACAAGCGTACTTAATGAGTCCGAAGTGTTTAGGGTCCATTTGATTTACTTTCTGGTATGAGTGTGGATTCAGGAATATGATTTCTTGGAGGGAGGTTAACAAGTCTAAAATGCATGTTTAGGGCATTTTCGTTTAAAAATGTGTTTTCCTTTAAAAACGTTACGGAGTACAATAACACCAAGTTTGACACCAAGATTTACACCATCGGGCAATGTTTTGCATAAGCAGTAGTTGTCGGTGAGAATCTAGTCTATGGGACGCTTGTGGTATCAACCTTGGTGTCATTGTGGCATGACTCTTTTCGTTTACTTTCATATGTGAGTTTTGAATACCATTAGCAATTGAAAATGAGTTTTATTCATATCCATATGCTTTGTACATTCATATGGGATGTCCAAAGTTAAAAAATGGCACATTATCTCTGAGATGAAAAAAATGCGAGTAGAAGAAATGATGAAAAAATGGCACATTATACTTTTGATTCATATGCATTTCTATGTTTCTTTCAACTAACTACGGAGTATAATACTCTGATCCAAAAGTGGTTATGAAGATGTTGAGGGCCGTCCCTAGAGAATCAGGGACTTGACAGGAGACGGAGAAAATGGGCTTTTGTGTCATAATAATGAAGAAAGTCTATCAATTATTTTTTTTAAAATATTAATTAACATTATTGTAATAAGAATACTAATAAAATGTGAAATTCATATCTCATACGGAGTACAAAAAGAAATTGAAATTGGGATCTCTTCCAAAATTGTCCGGAACTTGTTAAACGACAGTTTATAATTACTTTATCCGTCCCAAATTATAATGTCTGTTTACTATTTATAAGGTCAAACTTCATTCACTTTCTTTATCTATTTTTGTTAACAATTTGATAAAATAAAATACTATTGTCACTACTAGTTTTGTAGATCTTTTGATGTAGTTTTTTAATATGTACTAGTAATTTTTATTTTTTAATTCTATACCATTTGTCATATAAAATGGTTTGAAAATAATTTCAGTCAAACATCGTAAACCGAAACAGGTGTTATAAAATGGGACGGAGGTAGTAGTACTCTTAGCGTTTAGATAGTTTTTAGGTATTATTCCGTAATTTTTAAAATACAAACGTTAAAAGGAATTGTCGGATATCATTTTCAAAATTTTGAAGCTAAACATTTAAGTTAATGCCAAGTGGAACTAATAACTAATGAATTGTTGTTTATTGGTTGGGAATGAGTTGCTTTACACTTAACAATGGAATGTATTATGTAATTAGAGAGCAAAATCTAGTTTAAACTATTTTTCGCTTTTTAGAAAGAGTATCTAGTTTAAAATATTTAGCTCTTCTAAATAAATTCTTATCATTTATTTGTCACTAATCAGTAATTAATTAATATCTTTTAAGAACTTCCTCCTTAGCGTCTATTGGCTATTGTGCGTCATTAAATTAAAGAATGTATGAAGATATATTACGGAGTACATTATAATCGAGTCAGTAACGCCAAAAAATCTTTCAATATTTTTTTCAAAGTATTGATTACTTTTTGTGAATTTATAATGAAAATTACTTTTTGAGACCGGCGAATATAATAATATCTCCGTCCCATAAACTCCCCCTCCCCCTTCTTTTTTTCTTTGTCCCACAAAGTCTTTCTCGTTTCTATTAAAAAAAATAGCTTTTGCCTCTAATAATTCTTACTCATCTATCATTTAATTTTTTTACTAATAATATATCTATTACATTCTAGTTTTAATCATTACATTAGATGTAATTTGGAAAGTCGATACAAAAATATCACTCTCTTAATTCTCTTAAAAGTCAAAATTAGAACATTTTTATGGGAGAGACAAAGTATGTAATGTGGGGGTAGGGAATTAAAATTTGCATGGTCTTGAAACTAATAATAATGTCCAGCAGTATGTATGGAGACAATAATACTAGAAAACAAATTTATGATATGATATGAGATGCAATTATATATGGCCCTCTCCCCCTTTCATATCATCGTACTTTTTTTACTTACTCACCCGAGAATAAAGCTTTTGCTAAAATCGTCTCCTCTCTTCTCCCGTCTTTTACCGCTTTTCTTCTTTCCCCTTTTGAAATCTACTCCGCAGATACTATTAGGGTCCGTTTGGTATAAGAAATTGGTAGAATTGGAATTGAATTGGAATTGAAATTCCATGGGATTCAATTCTATAGAATTGAATTCTGTCAATTTTAATTCATTTTTTGCACTATCAATTCCAAATCCACATAATTTTTGTGCTACCAAACACCAAAATTGGAATTGAAATCCCCAATTCCAATTCCATAGTTTGAATTCCATGTACCAAACGGGACCTTAGAGTATTATTAGGGCATTAGAAATACACATAATGCCAGACTCCCTCATGGGGCGTTAATGCCTACCCTGCGTTAAACACCAACGTACCCTCCTAACGTGTCAAACGGGCGTCAAGCGTGTTGCGTTAAACGTTTAATGCAGTGAGAACGAAGAAATAGATGTTGCTCCTCCGTTGCCAAATATTTAAAAAAACATTTTTTTTAAACTTCAATTATAAATACCCTCTCATATTTTAAAAATGTACACACACAGCATATTCTCACATTCTCTCTTCTTTTCTCAAATTTCTTATCTTTCTCTATTATTTTTTAATTTTTTATCATGAATCCCTTCAGTTCCTCCTTCCGAAGGAAGAAATGTTGGTGTCCGTGTGGGTTGTCGTCTCAGAACATCCTATTGTTGGTAAAACTAGCTTATACTCCCTCCGTTTGCTAAAAGACTTCCTACTTTGACTTGGAGCCAAAATAAGGAAGTGTTAAATTATAGTTGACTTCCAGTTTTGCTCCTGATATAATGGGTAAAAGTAAAATGTGATGGATAGATTATTAGAGAAAAAATATGATGTGATAGGCAGGGTATGAAAGTGGAATTATTTTGTTAGAAGTGGAAAAAATGAAAGAGGAAGTGTTTTTAAGAACGAAGGAAGTATGTTTTTTTTATATATACTCCCTCCGTCCCGGAAAACATGGGAGTTTTGGTTTTGAAGAGTGATTTAAGGGGAGTGTATTTTGGTATTGAATTTCTAAAAATGTCCTTTTGATATGATGGGTAAAAGTATGATTTGATGGATAAATTATTAGTAAAAAGGTATCATGTGATAGGTAGGGTATGAAAAAGTAATGGGTAAAAGTGACTTTTTAATAGAAATGAGAAGTGTTTTTTGGGACGGGTGAAAAAAGAAAGGAGAAAGGTTTTTTGGGACGGAGGGAGTATATTTTATATATGTTCCTTTTTATATGTTTGTGTTAAAATATATTTTTTGTTAAATTATATCTTTCTTAAAGGTTCTGATCAAACGAGGGAAGCGATGTGAAATTGTATCGAGGAGTTTTTTAATTTGTAGCAATGAACAAGGATGTCTCCTACCGAACCCGAGACCATCTAACTTCTAAATGGAGCCACATAAATAGAAAAAGTCTAAAAGTTTATTAGAGTGTACGAGGAATGCTCTCGGTTTTCAAAGAGCATGATGAACGATGCCGATATTCTGCGACAAGCTAAGTCACCGCCTGGTATCAAAACGATGGACACCAAGGCAAAGTCCCCATCGAGTTGTACATGGAGAGTTTTAAGTCATTCACCGAAATGTCAACAACTTTGAAGCCCTAAGGTAGATTGTCAAAGAAAAGATCCTCTATCGAGGTTGACTCGGATGACATTATCGGCTCGTCGAAACAAATCTGCCTTGATACATTAAGGGGATTCAAATGTATGTATTACGAGAAAAGACAAAACAAGATCAAAGCTAAATATAATATGTTTTAGTTTTTTAATTAATGTTCTTTGTAATTGAATGTAATTGTTTCAATTTAATGAATTACTATCGTTTAAATTCAATTAATTAATGAAATATTTTGTATTAATTTACTGTAACAAAATGTACATTAAAAAAAATTTAAAAATAAAGGTTTGGAGTCAGGGGAATTCAAAACTATTTTCAATGAAACTGCGAGGTAAGTTAAAGAGGGGTTAAAGCTAATGTGCTAGAGAGAAAAAGTTTGAAGCCGCGGGCTTCAAATGTATTTCAATTCTAGTGGTCTTATATTCGTTTAGTTTATTTTTTTCCGAATCAAAATAGATGAACTTTAAATTTCAATTAAATCAAAATAGATGAACTTTAAATTTCAATTAAATAAAAATGGTAATTAATTTTCCATCCCAATATAGATTGTCTGTTTTGGTTTATGATGTTTGTCTCAAATTATTTTCATTTCATTTCACATGAAAATTAGTGTGAAATATAAAATTAAATTATATATTTAAAAAAATCTAAAAGATTTAAGGGAGAAAGACCAAACTAGGACTAAAACATTGAAAATATACCAAAATAGGACTTCCATGTTTTTATTTCCGAAATAGGACTTACATTACCAAACATGATCATATACATTACCAAAAAAGTATAGTAATTTGTACATCTACACTGCCACATTACCACAATGCAAAGTCACATTACCACAATGCAAAGTCCTATTCCGGAAAAAAACATGAAAATCCTATTTTGGTACTTTTCTCTATGTTTAGTCCTATTTAGGATGATTTCTAAAGATTTAATTCATTTTGCATAATATGACAAATATTTTAGGACGGGAAAAAATCCATACCTTCCCATGTAAGTGAGATTTTTTTTAAAAAAAAAGAAAGATTAAAACCTCCTATTTTAGCACTCGTTTTCGTTTAAAAAAAGGATAAAACTATTTGTACCCCAACTTTTATACCCCACCTAAAAAAGAAGTTTTCATGTGTACCCTATTTTGTTTCTGTCTCACTTAACTTTTGCAGTAGACATAGTACACAACATGGGGCCTAGGATCCTTTAGTTTATAAACAAGTGACACAAACCTCGTGTCTTCAAAAAAATAATATTCCCTCGGTCCCAAAAAGTGCGACACGTTTTGAAAAATTTTCGTCCCTTAAAGTCTTTTGCATTTCTATTAAAAAACCACTTTTACCCCTTACTTTTTCATACCCTACATATCACATCATACCTTTTTCCTAATAATCTACCCACCACATCTTATTTTTACTCATCACATCAAGGGTATTTTTGGAAAGTCAACACCAAAATATC